CCCCCCATCCCCTCCAAAAATACTATTAAAAAATTAAAAAACGAGTAAAAATTAAAAAAAAATCCGCCCGCCCGCCTCTGAAAATTTGTGAGAGTGTGACGCTAACCAAGTATTTTTTTTTATTTGGCCTAATGACATGCATTGATATAGTCACGCATCACTTCGCTCCAAAAGAGCTGGCAAGAAAAAATCACCGTGGATAACTAGTCAATTGTTGCGACATATGCACAGAAGAGATTATCTAAAACAAAAAGCAGCATGGGCCAAAGATCAAGCTCTATGGGAAGAGTACAAGCTTGCCCGAAATCATACTAATAACGAAATTAAAAAAGCGAAGCAAAAGTATTTTACAACGAACTTGGAAAACGCTAAAACAAACCCACGGAAAACATGGAATTTCCATTAGCTTGTATCCCTTTTTCCTAAAGTAATTGCCACAAACAATCGCTATGGTCAAAGACTATGCCTAGAAGCGTGGATATAAATATGATTAATTATGAAGATCAGATGAAGAAACTAGACTCATGGAGTGTCGAAACATTGGGTCTTGATTACAATTCGACTGGGCTTTGTAATCATTTATTTAAACCAGAGTAGCGAGCGAACATGATTTAAGAGTTCGTTGCGACAGTATTATTAAAAAGCCCTGCCCAGTTTTTTTGACGCAGAGGACCCAAGAACATGGAGATTTGTATGTTTAAATTGTGACTCTTGTCGAAGTTTGAACAATGTTACGAATCGTGTAATTTTACCTGGCGAAGTTGAATAAATAAATAAACACTTTCCAAACAAAGAACTTGATTCGGCTTCAGTGTGTTGTTATAATATGCGCTATTTAGAACAAACAATTCCAAACAAGCAAGAAATGCAATAACTCGAGCAGTCTCCGTTCGTTTAATATGAAATTATCAACTTTGCTTCTATAGCCTGGCAGCATGTGAATGACAAAAAGATAACACAGACACGCGCAAAATTGGCTATTTGACACGAATAAATGATAAATTGCGATATAAAGTGCGCTCAAATTACACTCTTTGTAATTCAAAGAATACCGTCCGCTCCTTGTAATTTGAGCTTTGTCCTTCCCTCCATTGATAATTTAATATCTTAGGAGCCACGTGACCAGCCGGCACCAGGGTATTTCCGCAGCAGGAGGTGAGCGAAAGTAATACTCTGGGTACGAGGTTGAATCTACTACAATGGCAAAGCTTTTCATCAATATGTGCAAACAGCTGCCACTGGAACGATGTTTATATTACGCCCAACTACTTTGGATGAAGTTAATAAATTAATCTCCTTGATATCTGATAAGAAAGCTACAGTTCTTGACCAAATTCCGTGTAAATTATTTAAACTCGCTGCATCTATATTAGCGAAAGTCTCCCCTATATACAAAGGTGACGAAAAAGATAATGTAAGGAATTACAGACCAATTTCGGTTTTAAGTGTGATTTCTAAAGGTTTTCGAGCGTATTGTTTTTAATCAGCTTTATACCTATTTCAATGAAAACAACCTGTTACACAAGAATCAATCAGGTTTTAGGAAGTGCCACTCTACTATTACTACACTAGCAGATGCCATTGTATGGATTTTATTAGCAAGTAGTTAATCATTTTTAAAGTGATATCGCTAATAATTATAAAATTTTAATTTGTGTTTGTATGTATGTATGTATGTATGTTTGTGTGGTGTATATATATTGTTTGTAGCATATAAATGATTTGTAATTACCTGCTGAAAAGCCCTTTTGGGAGCAGGCAATTTTGTAATAATAATAATAATAATAATAATAATAATAATAATAATAATAATAATAATAATAATAATAATAATAATAATAATATTGAATGACTTGCAAATATAGATCAGGGTAAGCTTAATGCGGTTGTTTATATTGATCTAGCGAAGGCATTTGATACAAAAAGTCACTAGATATTACTCGAGAAACTCCTCATTTACGGGGTTGATACAAATAGTTTATCCTGGTTTCAATCCTATTTACAAGATTGCAAACAAAAATGTTGTGTGAATAACGTTTTATCCGGGGAACGTACAATTAATTATGGTGTTCTTCAGAGGTCAATTATTGGACCGTTATTATTTCTCATATAGCATATATCAACGATCTTCCTCAGTGTTTAAAACATTCTACTGCTCGAATGTACGCTGACGATACAAACATAACAACGACAGGAACATCTATTCGAGAAATAGTAACACATACTAATAATGACTTAAATAATATTAGTGACTGGGTGAAAGCAAACAAACTCAGCCTTAACGTCACCAAAACTGAGTACATGTACCACCACTATTTCTTGAAAACAAAGCTATAAAAAGGGTCAAAGCAACTAAGTCATTAGGGGTACATATTGATGAAAGACTAACATGGCATGAACACATTTAAATTATTTCGATAAAAGTAGGTGCTAGAATTTCAGGATTACGGCGGGTAAGGGAGTTTGTCCATTATCGATATTGTTAACAATCTATAACTCATTAATACAACCATTATTTGATTATTTTATTTTATTTTTATTAACTTCAGCCGTCAACAGAAATGACAATACAAACATGCAGGAAGACGGTTCAGGGACACTAACACAGCGTGAGCCAATTACGTTAGTGACCTGTTACAAAACAAATGTAGTCCCTTTACAAAACTTCACAACTTATAATTTAAATATCAAACAAGAATATAGTACAATCTTTTTTATCCGAAGTAGAGAGAGAGCATAAAAATTTCAAAATTTGAAAAAACAAAATGACAAAATTGTGAAACAGAATAAATTCGAGAATATATATAGATTCCGTATCCGTCGATAAAATAAGACGAAAATGGCGAAAAACCCAACTCTACATCGGATAAAATGAAGTATACTACACTGAATATTTGCCAAAATAACTAGTTCAATTAAGAACAACATTTCATTGTTTCAGTAAGCTGCCTGGCTTTATGACACTTCAGACAAACTGATTTCCACGTCTGCGGATTTTCCTGGTCAAACACGGTTAATGTTGCGGAGTGGTAATAGTTTATCCTCGAGCCGACGGCGCGAAGCGCCGTGCGAGGGTACTAATGCCCCCCGGCTATTTACACCAGGGGAAACGAAAGCATTGGCGAAGTCTAAAGTTCGTCAAATATCGCGGGCGTGGGTCACTGTGCGTTGGTGGTCATCCTCACTGATCTCAAAAATATGGCGGACTGTCATGAACAGCAAACATTGTGATTAGTCCAATTTAAAGTTTGCATTATAACGACTGCATGACGACAGCGAAATAGCAAACATTTCTTGATTTGATGATTGATAAATTTCTTGCAAATATATTTCATTTTTGCTCTCATTTTTGCAAGATTTTGTAAATTTCAAGAAAGAAAGTGCGAAAGAATCGGCTAAAAGAAGGGAGTCGACGTTAACGAAGGTAAGTTTGTTTTAAATATTGATTTTATAATTGCTTTAAAACCCGACGGCCTTTGCGTATATGAAACAACTAAACAAGACAGCATATAATTTCATTGTATCTTTAATATTGATTACCTTTTTTATTATATTGAATTTTTTAGATAAAAAAGGAAGCAAAGTTATTTGCATGCGAGAATTTGAAATAATTTTATTGCAAACTCAAAGTTTATCGATAAAGCCATTTAATTAAAAGCAGTTTTATAGTTTTATAAAGAACACTTTAAAACGTTTTCCAGCGCCATTGTGGTTGAATTTTACCTTAAATTGAAGCTTATATTACGTATAATATCATACCTAACATATATATGTTGGGAAAATGATAATTTTGTAATTAAAAGTGATATTTTTAGGCGATTTTTCATTTGTAAGAATATTCTTAAAAAATATCGTGTTACCATAACAACTACTTTAGATACTTCATGTTCGGAAAATATAATGGTTTTGTCAGCAAGGCGAGGGTTTCTGCATGCATGTATTTTCTAGTAATACGTGATTTGAAGCTTTGGAATGATAGTTCTGCATGGTTTCCGTAGCTCATCTGGTAGACAGTTCCACACACGCGATACTCGTACAAGATAACTGTTATAATGACATTGCGTTCTGACTTTAGAAATGTTATATTTCACAAGAGAGCTATTAGAAGAGCGTAGATTTATGGTTGAAGTCAGAGTGTCAACTTCTTCGGGAAGGATATCAGTTTTAACCAAGCCATGTTTGCATTTGAAGAGGAATAGGATATCGAGATATTCGTGCCAGTAAAAGAGAGGTAGCATCTTCAACGAAGCGAGTCTCGTTTTGTATGGCATGACCGTTTGGAATGGTAAAGACATTACGAATGTGGTCGCTCTACGTTGTATGCGTTCGAGCTCTATACACATGGTGATAGTCTGTGGACACCACACTTGTGTGGCATAAGCAAGATGGGATCTCACAAGTCTAAGGAGAGACAGCGTCGGGTATTTACCTTTTTAACCTTGATAACGAACGTTTGAGCATACCTAGCAGGCGGTTGGCTTTCGTAACTTGCTCGTAAATATGAGCGTTCCATCTGAGATCTGAACAAACCGTCACTCCGAGGTCTTTCTGGGAGGAAACATGCTGCAAAGTTTTACCGTTGACAATGTATTCAGCAACAAGAGGATGACGTTTTCTCGTAATGTTCAGAACTTTGCATTTTTGGGCGTTGAATTTGAGCCTCCAAAACTCAGCCCATTTATCCACGTTTCTCGCTTCAGCTTGAAGGACACAGGTGTCAACCAGTGATTCAACAACTGAGATGCATTTTGTGTCGTCGGCAAACAAGGAAACGTCAACAGCGGGTGAGGTTATTGATTCTGGAAGGTCGTTTATGTAGATGAGAAACAGGAGTGGTCCGAGTATTGATCCTTGCGGAACGCCGGAGGAAACTGGACGTGTCTCTGAAATCTCACCATTGACTAGTACACGCTGTTGTCGTCCGGATAAATAACTTTTAAACCACGTTAAAATATTGTCCTTAAGCCCAAATCGTTGGAGTTTCTTTAAAGTGCCTATGACACCCAAATGTTTATGATTGCATTGTATAGATCACTTAAAGTGACTTAATAATTTCTTTTGTAGAATTTTGGTAACTTGCTTCCTTTGCAAGATATTCAACTTTGTTTCTTATGCAAATATCACCGGTGTGACATCACATTGCATAATGACATTTTGAAAACGTAATATTTTACCTTGATAAAATATTTTTACAAACAAATACAGGGGGTTAACTACCAGTTATGAAATTAATACATATACAAGGGCAATTTTTAAGTTTTTTAGATACGTATTCGTCAAGAAAACTATACTTTTCTGAAAACTCATTATGTGATGTGCTGTTACACCTGTGATATTTGCATATGAAACAAAGTTGAATATCTTGAAAAGGGAGCAAGTTAACAAAAATCTATAAAAGAAATTATTAAGTCATTTTAAGTGATCTTTACAATTTAACCATAAACCTTTGGGGTGAAATTTCATGTCATAGGCACTCTAAAAGAGGGTTATGATTCACCGTGTCAAACGCTTTAGCAACATCGAAATACAAGATATCTGTTTGTTTCCCTGAATCCAGGTTTTGACAGATGCGGTGAAGAACGGAAATGAGCTGACCTGTGCAAGACTTTCCTCTCAGAAAACCATGCTGTGCCACGGATATCATGTTCTCTATTTGACCAATCAGACGGTTGTAAACACAACGTTCTAAAACTTTCGCAACAACGCACATGAGGGAAATTGATCTGTAATTCTCAACAAAACTCTTGATTCCTTTTTTATGAAGAGGGATGGTGTTGGACGGTTTCCATTCTGATGGTAAGGAGGCCTGCTTTAAGGATTTGTTGAAGAGACATGTTAATGATGGTGTGATGGAGTGCGCACATTCTTTTAGTAAGCGGATTGGTATATTATCTGGACCAGATGCTTTACTAGGATCGAGGTAATAAAGAACGTCATATACTTCACTTGGGTCTAAAATAATGCAGAAATAGTCTCTTCACATACATGTGTAATGGGGATTGAAATATCAACACCTTCTGTTAGAAATACTGAGTGGAAGTAGTCATTGAACATTTCTGCAGCTTTTTTTGACTAGTGGAATCTAAGCGTGGGGAGTCTGCGTTGCCTGTCGCGACGGAAACTCGCTGTGGAATACGGCTGGATTTAGTGGTTGTTTTAAACATGACCAGAACAGTTTTGGATTGGATGGTAGAGCTTCGCTTAGGGAACCAAAGAACTTTTCCCGACTTTCTTTGATTAATCTCTTAGATGTACGGCGGAGATTCTTGTATTTTTGTACAAGTGCAGCAGAATTTGTTCCGCGACGGATTTTTCGCCGGAGGGATTCTTTCTTTTTGATCAAAGATTTTATCTCACCATTCAACCATGGTGGATTGTATCTTCCTTTTACAATCTTTGTTGGAATATATTCGTGAGCTACAGCAAGGAAAGTGTCTCTCCATAAATTCCAGTTCTCGTTAATGTCCGACATAGATGTGGGATCGCTAAATTCAAATTCAATCGATTCAAAAGTACGGTTAATTTTCAAAATCCGCACGGTTGTAATCGTAAACCGATTTTTTGAGCTTGTGGGAAGGTGTTGCTGTACCTTGAAACTCAAAGAGTAGGCACTTCTGGTCCGAAAACAAATTGAAATTGGTTGGATCAATACTTTAATGTTGTTAACGTTGTCTGGAATATTTGTCATTATAAGATCAAGAACGTTAGTGTCTCTTGTTGGAGCGACCGTCAATTGACTTAAGTAATGGTCGGATAAGGTGTTGTAGAAAAATCTCTCGGATTCACCGGTTGGGATAACCATGCTTTCAGACCACGAGATTCGCGGGAAGTTGAAATCACCAGTCATTACAATTTTCTCGTAGGTGTCCATGATGTAATCTAAGAACTTTTTAAAGGAGAGAAGTCATTTTGACGAGGAGTCAGGAGCTCTGTAGCAGCAGACAACAAGGATTCGTTCATTGTTAGTGACGCATTCAATGCAGACGATTTCTAGTTCTGTATCTAACTGATTAAAGCGTACTTGCTTGGTTTCTGTAAAAGAAGACTCTTTTGTAGCTATTAGTACGCCACCGCCGGTTTTACATTTACGGTCGACACGGAAAACGTTATAATCTTGACGAAAAAATTTCTGCATCAAAGTGTTTAATGGACAGCCATGTTTCAGTGAGGAAAACGATGTGTATTTGCTCGGAGTATACAAAATCTTGAAGACTTGAATTATTTGATATCATATCTCGATCAGATGTTCTATGTAAACTAAACAAACTTCACGTATTTCAGCTCAAACAGCGAAATGACTTACGTTCAGTCGCGATGGTGTTGCTTCGATTATTTACGACGGATGAACAGTGTTCGAGATACTCAGATGAAATAGGACCGGGATTTAATTTCGCATCGTTAGCTAAAAGGATTAACAGCAAAGGCAAAGACGATCTCTGTAACAATAACAGTCCGTGCACAAAACGATAAACCGAGAGCAAAGTTATACATGTCTCTTAACACGACGAAGTCGATAAGAACACGTTGGTCCAAGCGTTTTCGTTGAGGCATAGAACAAATTAATCTTGGTTTCTTTCATATTTTTTTATTCCGCGTACAACCAACCACAGGAAAACAATAACGTAGACGAATTTTGGGAAAATCGTTTCTAATAGGATTAGGAATTGTATTAATTTTGTTCTTGTTAATTGGCGCGCGCGCACTTAATTAAGCGCGATTATTATTCTTATTATTATTGATTACTGCGATGTTGTTTGACACAGCCTTCCTGCTGCTGGTGCATGCCAACATTCTACAAAAGTTGAAACATCGTGCCTCTAGAGTTATTACTCGTCAAGGTTACAATATCAGATTCAATGAAACAAGGAAAACATTGAATTAATTGAAAAACCCTTGCTGAAATTCGAGACATACTCAATGATGTATAAGATATTAAATAATGTGGCACAAAATATTTGAGAGGCCATTTTGAAATGTCTGCCATAGGTAATTTCTATAGATTAAGAAATAAAAAACTAAGGCCTTGTACTAGCAAAGCCTCAAACGGAATATTTAAAGAAAAGCTCTCTCTCTCTCTCTCTCTCTCTCGTTCCTAATTTTTGCCATTCTCACTTTTTTTTTGTAGATGTCGGTAATTGCAATCCTCGTGTTTGGTGCGGTCGTTACTCAGAGCAGTGCAAGTAAGCGGAATTATGGTATATTTATCAGCTATAGACATGCAACGATAGGGATTCCTTATTTTCTGTTTGTATATAGATGTTTGTATTAACCCTTTAGTTATCTAGTTTTGTCCCAGTGCAATAAACTATAAACAAACCGTTAACAACCTAACCCATCTCGGCAAGTCCTTTCGAAAAACACTTACGTCGCCATAGCAAATAAACAGAACTGCAAGCATAGTTAAAACCACTACAGTACGCTAGTATTCTCCACCAAAATACATATTTTAGGACAAACCGAACTGAAGTTATAATAACAAGTGTTTAAAATGAAGGAAACTTCGGACGATAGAAGAATAAAACCACTTAGGCGAAAATTAATACGACGCGACTTTTAATTAATACAATTAAGGTAATCATTTCTATATTTAGAGGGCCAAACGTATTGTATGTGTGCTTCTGTCACGGAGCTTCTGTGGTTTTAATGTCTTAGTGTGACCATCTATTCTGTGGTGTATATGTATAGCACCTTATACAGTCGCTGTATAATGTATTAATATACCGCCTTTATAATATCGGCACTTTTAAAAAACTTGCATAACATCAATTTCCGTAAAGCATAACATCAATTTATATATTGGGTAGATTATCAAACATTTTCTCAACATTTACGTCTGAAATGTTTATACATTTGAAAGCAACACTGTCTCGCTCCTTCCTAACTCTGTATAATGAATATACCGTCGAAATAATACTTGCACTTAATTGATGCCGGTAATGCATAACATCAATTTATATATTGCGTAGGTTCACGAAGATTTAATCAATATTCACGTCTGAAATGTTTTTACATTAGAAAATAACACTGTCGCTCCTTCCTAGCATCGTCACGCCATCGTGATCTACGGCTTGGTAGAGCATGCGCATTTGCGTTGCTAAAGAAAAAATTGGGTGTTCCGGGGTAAAGATCCTGAACAGAAAGTGAGAAGTGAATGTCATAAAATTTACAAAAATTTACAATAACGACAACGATTTCTCGAAATTTTTGTGAACTTGGTAAAAAGAACAATATACCGTGCTTAAAAAAAGTATTATAAAAAAGATTGCAAAATGTAGAATCAAAAAGATTGATCGACCTTCTAATCTGAGTAAACTTATCGCTCTGTTCCTCAGAATCAAAATGTATGTCCCACTTCAAACAAGGATTCTATTTTATATCAAGGTTAAAAGCTAAGGGAGAGGTTTTTATTAAACTGTGAAGAACGAGGGCCGAAGGTCCGAGGTCTTTACAGTTTAATAAAGCCGATACTCGTGACTTTTAACTTGTTTATATACTCATCAGACCATATTCTTTTGTATTTCGAAGGTTTTCTTCATTAAATATTGAAGCTATCAATTCAATGAGAGGTTACGGTTGTGGGACGAAATAAGGTGTCACGTTTTAAAATGTGGCTAAGCATGCGCAGTATATCATTTAACGTCCCACAAGCGAAAGGGTAGATATTACTGTATAAATTCCCTGCACAAGCAAGTTTGATGATTGATCGCAACCACGTTCCCAGGGCTTTCGTTTGAGGACGAGGCGAGAGACGAGAAAGCCCTGGTCTGGGCCGGTCAATTTTGCATTCTGATTGGCTAACACTATATTGTCTAAAAATAACTGAACTTGACAGTTGACAATAACAATTCAACATTTGTATTTTTATGATTCTTGTGTGTACGAGTATGTTACGTTTTGCGAAATAATCTTTCAAAGTAAGACGTTTTCCCGACTGCATAATTTACTTTCGCCTCGGCCGGTTACAAAACTCAAAAGCCGTGTCGACGTGCGTGAGCTGTGATGTTTTCTGACAAAACAAGAAACGTCTACTATTATTTAAGCTGTAGTTTTCCTTGTACAGTATTTATAATGCAGTGCAGATGTCTGATGAAATACTACGCGTATTGCGTTGCAGTAATATTTTAATTTACAGTATTCTGTACTGACAAATAAAAGCAAGACAAACAATTAAATGAAACTACTAACTTAATTTAGGCCCTGTTTACTTAATAGCTCTACGCCTAGGCCGATGTAGTCTCTACAAGATTCGTCACGCCACCGAGTTTTACAGTTTCAGAACTACCCCGAATACTTGAAAATTGCGACTATACATAAAATAAAACAAAATTTGTGAAGGCGATAAAATTGGTAGGCAAGCATCGCTCCTGAACGGCAAGTGTTGGTGTCCGGCGAAACAAGCGAATCCGTATATTCCTGTACAGCGTAAACAGGTTACGCGAGGTTTTATATTTGTGTTTATTTATATCGAACTAAGTCAGATCTATAAGAGCATATTTAAACTAAATATTAATAGCAATAGCCATATTGTTCAAGACGAGAGAAAGCAAATTTCGTGTGAATCACCACTTGCATGGAGACGCCTAGATGCTAGCCTAGATGCAGCTTGGATGCAGCTTTGCCTGTGGTTGAAAATCTCCAAAAATATCGGTATATCTTAGAAAACATAGACGGGGTCTTCAGAGATTTCAGCTGATTCGTGCCAAACTTCGCTCTACACATAAATAATATCGATTGAGAAGTCTTTTGACTGTTTATTTGTTTCGAAAACTTGTATATTTCATTAAAGATATCTTTCCACTCCTTGACGAGTAGCTGTCAAATACTGCCATTTTTTGGTTAATCACGTGACTGGCCCAGACCAGGGCTTTCTCGTCTCTCGCCTTGTCCTCAAACGAAAGCCCTGGGAACGAGATTGGGTTGATCCAGCTAGTCCTCGTGCGCAGAATGATAAATACTCTTACCTAAAACCTTGTACCCAGGGCCTGCCCGCCCGATTTTTTAATATGGCCGCCAAAGCGGGCGAGGCCCTGGTAAACACTTGTCACGTGTCGGGCAAATACTCCAAGATTCTTCGAGCGGGCTTTATGGAAATAAAAACAGGGAGGCGATGAAAAGTTCACGAATAGAACTTGAATCGCCGCGAATTATTTATATTCTTTTATTTTTTGTTGTAATCTTTCTTTTTAATATGTTACGTTTATATATTACGTCGAATGTACATCAATCTTCTTTTATATCGCATCATGTAAATCGCCGAGGAGGCGATGTTTCGAATTTCGAAGGAAAATGGAGCCAACCTCGTACATACTATTTGTGATGATTTCCATCAAGTAAAAGGTACAATATGAATTTGAAAATGTTTAGAAGTATTTTATTGTTACAAATTATTTAGCAGATTCCCATTATTTGTTACACTGACTAGCTCTATGAAATATATATTTCGAAGGCTATTTAGTATATTTATACAGTATGTTAATATAGTTAGCTGAGTTTGTAGTTTAAATATTGAGAAACACATGGCCAGACTATGGCCTATATAATACTATACTGAGTCTCTCAGTAAAGTTCTACTCTCACATGATTATTATTTACAATATTGATTTATCGCTGCGAGAAATGTGTTTACACTTACAGTGTTATTAAACTACAGTTATTAACTTCAAATAATTTGTTTTTACATTTACATTTAATGACCAGAAATTATTTAAATGAGCCATCACTATAATAACAGAGTGGCCAGGTTGACAGAGCTAAAATCTAATGATCGAACCTAACTTGCTAGAATATTTCAATAGTCAAACATCAGTTTCAGCATTTATTCAGCATAATTTAATGTTAGTGAATTATTGAGTAATTTTAATATCCATGACAACTCCAGCTTGTCAGGGATTTTTTTAGGGAAAAGATTTAGCACCCCATCGTAAAACCTGCCCCCGAATCTCAAAATTTCATTATTTTGTTCCCTTGCCCCTACATTTATACCTTTTGTGCTCTTGAGATCTTTTACAAAATTGCCTAATTCTGCAGTGTGGCTTGTAACTTTGTTGCCATAATTATTTGCTGAAGGCTTCAATAAATTTCTACTCTAACACCTGGCAGAGATGGGGCCATATGTATGAACAAGAAGAAATAATTTCTTCATCTATTGACCCCTTATCTTTCACCAAATTTTTAAATTAAATTTACTGAATGATTTTGAAGTTGTCTAGATTATTGAAAAGAACTTTATGGGTACAAGAAATGGGGCAAAACAGTTGAATTAAGCAAGATGTAAGTAACAATGAACAAGACTGTTTCACTGGATGGTATTTCAGCACACTGGTGGACATGCAACCTAATACCAGCAACCTGTGTCACATTTATATAGTTTTACACTGTACTGGAAAAATAATGTCAAGGAATTTGTAGAGATTCAGAATGCACACTCCTTGGTTTATTCAATCACCAGCATGCATGAATCATTTTATGTTATGAATATTTTTTTAAAATTATTCTCACTTTATAGATAATTATATCAATTTTTAATATCATAAATGAATATATATAGTAGCTTTCGATTATACAAGTTATAATAATATATCAGCAAATAATGACTGGTCTCTCTGAAATCCATCTTATAGAAAGGTTCAAATTTGACTTCCACTACCACTACTTGATCTAGCAGTTGCATGAGGATTGTTTGATTGGATAAATGAAACTTATCTGGTTAGTTAATGATAGCAACAGCAGTAGTGGAAGTCAAATCTGATCTCTCTATTATTTTTTGAAGATTTGCTCTAGTCACTTCAATTCAGGGTTGCCCATGCAACTTGGTTAGCACAGCCAGCTCTTCAAGTTGTAGGTCCAATTCTTAGGAGTCTGCAAATTAATTCTAGAAAACTGGCTTTGGTTTGGGCTAAGCAAAAATCATCACACTATTTATCATGCTGATTTGGTTGTTTAACAGTTAAAGTCCAGGCTGCATGTTTTTGTCCTGCATATGGCAGATGAGACAGTCTGGTTTCCAAGTGTTTGTGTGGGGAATAATATTAATCCTGGCTTCTGAGTAAAGGTCTTGCCTGCTTTATGCAAGAGCAGGGTTTATGCGAGATTCCAATTGCTACACAGCATGATCTCAGGGCTCTTTCTCTGAAACAATGCTTGGTTGCGATATCATCCAGCAAGTGCAAAAATGCACTACCACGGTCAAGGATCATTTGGCATGTTCATCGACTATGTTAACCCATTGAGTGGCGGCATGCACTCTCCACCTGACGAGTAAATTGCCCGGCGTTAGACAGAGTAAACTAACAAAGTAGGGTGCATTGCCACTTAAAAGGTTAAAAACGGAAATACCACAGCACAAAACTTGTACATACACATATACAACAGCAATCCTTTTATACATTTAATAGTCATGTTTACATATTGGTGAAATATCAATGTCCATATATTAGGGATGTCCATGAACTTGTCCCTAGTTTGAAGCTCAAGTATTCATATCTTTTGTATAAGTTGTGCCCCTACAAACCAACTTTAATTTAGTCATTATACAAGAGTTAAATTTGCATTCATTGGCTTCGCAAGTCGCAACAAACTGAACAAAGTACTAAACCATAAACCTGCATGCGCAATGATCGAGCGTCTTGAGCGACATATCCAAGTCTTTTAAACGTCTCATACGAACAAATCTCACTGAGTTTTTTCTACAGAAAGTATTGATCCATTTGATCGGTCGCCGCACTTTGAGAAAAGCTTGAAATGCAAAATTCACAGGGAAGATTGAAGAATTTCGGAGATAAAAACTGTTTGTCTTCGTCACCTCTAGCATTCACCCCCCGGTTGAGAAAAGTAACAATTACGTAATGTCGGAGTCACGTTACTAGCGTTTACCAGGACTATGTCGCCGCCTTCAATTTGCGGCTAGCCCTGGATACGAGGTTGTCTTACCTAATGGTAGAGTTTTGACGGGCTTTGAGGTATACGGCTGTTGTCTCTTTCTCTACTTAGAGACGTGCAGCGTTTTCTAGTCAAAAAGGAGATGTGGGGCTTAAGTTTTCTTGCAAATTCAAGACTCGAATTCAAGACTTATGGCCAGGTCTTGAATTGAAAATGTAAAAAAAATGAGTTGAAAATGAGTTTATAAAAAACGTTCTTTCAACCAGGAATTGATTATTGCTCCACCGTTTGGGGACAATCACCACACACTTCAAGAATATATAAACTACAAAAACTTATTTTAAGACTAATATATGATAAATCTAAACTTTCTCCATCTAAACCACTTTTCAATCAGTCAAACATTTTAACGATAAAGTACATATTGGCTTTTATGATAGTCAGAAAACTCATTTACTAGTGATTTAAATAAAACTCGTTGACAGCCGGTTTTTTGGTTTTTTTTTTTTTTTGGGGGGGGGGATTCAAAAATGTTGTGCCTCCTTCCTTTCGCCTCCTCCCTCGAAATGTTGACGAGGGGGGAGGAAGAAGGTCGTGGGTTTTTTTCTGAAAACAAGACGTCCCAAAACATTTTCCTGCTATATGATAAATGTATTACCGGTATGATTAGGACAGGATTAATTGAGGACCTTAAAATCTTGATCACCAAACATATCAGCCTTGGACTATTAAGAAGTATCGAAGCCCTCCTAATCGATAAAACATGTTACAATCTTAATAGAAAAAGTCAAATATAACGCACAGATTATAAATATCGTTTATGCACGTTACAGCAAATGCACTAAGAGACACATTTTCATTTTTTCATGAAATCGTTTCAAAAGGCATAGAACGGCCAAAGATACAAAACAATGTTCACAAGAACAGTACGAAAACACTGCCGTAACATGACGAATATTACATCCATTCAGAGAGGCAACATCGGGTCAAGAATACTACAAGCACTAAGTGTCCAATATATCAGGCACTGTCCGTTGTAACCATGGACTCTCTCGTATGGTACTCGTCCCTATGGTAGGGAGTGGTGGTCATCTTGATTTCCTTCGCAATTTCGTGAGAGCATAGCGTTTCGCAAAACGATGCTTTTCCCAACCATAAGTCTGTGTTGGATGTACATCAAATGCTTTCGTCTTCAAAAATTACTTACGAATTGGTGCGAATTCGTTTTCGTTAAAGAAAAAGATTGCCAAGTTTTGAAGTACCCCTTTATAAGAGTGTTCTGTGCAATGAGAATAATTTATTTTTCATTAATTTTTAGATACTAATGAATGTTCAGAAGGAAGCCACAATTGCCATGGCAATGCTACATGTGCAAATACAGCTGGTTCATTTAACTGTACTTGTAATCCTGGCTACATAGGGAATGGGACTTATTGCAAAGGTTTGTTTTACGTAATTCACGTAGTGTTTATACGATAAAATATTGCATAAATAGCGTAATACACTCGATATAGTGTTAATTAAGCATGTATATCACCTAGTACTTTTCCACACGACACTTTTCACAGTCTTAAGTAATTTTGAGGTCTACACCCAAGTCTACACTCGTCTTTGAAGGTTATACTTGCGAATTGGTGAATTCATTTTTGTTAAATAAAACGTTTCCGAAGTTTCGAGCTTTACTAGGGTGTTCTGTCTAATGAATCATTTAAATTTAACCTTTCAAAAATTAATTAATGTACGGGAGGGAGCCACAATTGCCATGGGAATGCTACATGTGCAAATACAGCTGGTTCATTTAGTTGTACTTGTTAATCCTGGCTACACAGAGAATGGGAATTATTGTCAAGGTTTGTTCAAAGTAATTCACGAAGTGTTTATACAATAAAATATTGCATAAAATAGTAATACACTCGATAGTGTTAAGCATGTATATCACCTCATAGTTGGCGGTAAATCTCATTCTCGGTCTGCAACTGCATCCATCGATATTACGTGAGTTCGCACCATGGCGTCAATTAAGCCATACCATCTGTCGTTCTCTCGGCCTTTCGGCTTATATATAAGCACATCGCGTATTTGATCCGCAAACTGCTCGAAGCAGGTGAAGTCGAGCCAAACGCCGGGATATGAGGCTGATTCGACCCTCGTCGGTTGTCCTCAAACAATGTTTAGAAAAGTCGGGGGAAATGATATCAATTTCCTCGCAATTGCGTTCGATCAAAGCGTTTCACCACACGAAACTTTTCCCAATCACATTTCCCAAACATGCTTTCGTTCTAGAAAAATTACTTACGAACAGGTAAAATCATTTTCGTTGAGAAATGGTTGCCGGGACATGAGCGATCTCTTTGGAAATGTATTTGTATCTCATGAATTCATTTAAAATAAACTTTTCAGATATAGATGAATGTACAGAAGGAATCTGCCATGAGAACGCTATGTGTACAAATACAGCGGGTTTATTTTATTGTTATTGTCACACTGGCTACACAGGGAATGGGAATTATTGTGGAGGTTTGTTTTAATTTTAAGTTTAAATGCCACATATAATTTTAGATATGCAACCCCTGTGTATACACACTGATTTCCAGTGCAACAGCTTGCCCTCTTTTCTTCGCTACAGTAATGCTATTAAAAAAATCCAATTTCTAGAATCATTTTCAAGTGGGCGTTATGACAAATGGGCGAACTATGTATTATTATGGACATTTAAACTTCGAACCTCCGCTCACTTTACAATGTTGGGTCTCATGAGTTACCATCTTGTTTGGTTTGATCTCGCTGAACAACATTGATTTGAGAGGGAAAGACCGGCGGGGTGCATGGGAGGGATATCTTAATGTATTTAATTATTTGCATATATTTACTGATGATCTATAACCACGAGCACCCAACGTAGTCCAGCGGAAAAGTAAAAAATCATGCACTTTGTGAAGAAAGCACCCAATTCACAGGAAGTGTAGACTTTAACATGATAATGAATCTTAGATATGGAGGCATCACCAAAATTGATGCTGACGGCTTAAAATTTAGGATTTCTTATATTCTCTTATTAAACTCTATTACTGTTTATAATTGTGAAATTGCAGGTTCACATATAGAAAAAATGACTTGCATGATTAGAAAGCTTACAAAAAACTACATATAAGACTTTTAAACGGCTGATTGATTTTCCAAGCGGTTTTCCAGTTATTGCTATTTAAAAACGTGATAAATAGGCAAAAATCCCGCCAAAGTCCTGGACACTAGCCCTAAAACATATTTTCAACCGCTCATAACTCCAGAGGAGTTGGAAAATCAAAGTAACTGCTTAAATGTCTTATAAGCAGTTTATTGTAAGCTTTCTAATGACGCATGTCATTTTTGCTATATGTGAACCTGCAATTTCACAATTTTTAATTGTATATAAGAGATTAATAAGAGAATATAAGAAATCCTAACTTTTAAGCCGTCAGCATCAATTTTGGTGATGCCTCCATATCTAAGATTCATTATCATGTTAAAGTCTACACTCCCTGTGAATTTGGTGCTTTCTTCACAAAGTGCATGATTTTCTCAAATATCTGTGCATATCCGCTGGACTAACGGTAATATCTCACGCTTAGAAAAATGGTGAAACACGTTACTGAGTCGCATAAGATGACATTTGGGTAGACGGTGCGCGGAAATTTCGAACTCGACCTATAAAAATTTGCATAGAACGCGTAAACAGACAGTTAATATAAAAACTGTAATACAGTACAAATGCTCAAGTACGGTACAGCGGTAGATAGATGATATAGATTCTAGGTATGCGGAAGAGTAGGTAGGCGATATAGGTGATGAACTGGAGTAGAATAACGTAGAGTAGGTTCGAACTAGAGAACATGATGAAAGTAACAATAGCTATACTAAATGTACTGCGTGATTATAGCAATTCATACAAGTAATAATATAATTTCATGCACATGCAATGATGCTAAATGTTTTGAATGATGCTTATAGGTTCCAAAAAGCAAACTAAATTATTAATGCAAACATATACAAGCTATTGTCTAAATAACGCAGTGATGACACAGTAAAAATATTAAAATTAAACTCAATTTGGTTTACACACACCAACAATTGCGTACGAAATCACCGTAGATTCAACATAGATATAGATTTGTAGATATGGCCAAATGCCTAGTAGTAAGTTGTTTTCCTCGCAACAGCGTTCACGGTAGCTGATTATGCCCGAGTCACAGCCAGGGCCGTAGCTAGCATGTATAGTTGGGGGGGGGGGGGGGGGGGGC